TCCCTACAGGCGAGAGCGTGATTTCAAAGTTGTCATCAAGCTTGCGGCACGAGCTGACCTGCATCACCTAGGACTGTTTTTACAGGGGAGGCAAGCTGATGCCCCACAGGAAGCTCTGCAAGTCCTTGACATTGTTCTTCGTGAGCTGCCTACTGCCCGGTATGAGTAGTGCATTTGCATTTTGCAGTTTGATACTTGATATTGATATGTTGCTGGCTTCATTTTGCTAATAATTCGTGGGACAGATATTGCCCAGTGGGCCGGTCATTTTATTCCCCTGACCTAGGTAGAAGGCAACCTTTGGGGGAGGGTTTGGAAAGCTGGCGTGGGTTTTACCAGAGCATCCGGCCTACACAGATGGGACTTTCACTGAATATTGGTATAACGGCTCGCAGGTTACTTCCATTAACATTTTAATATCTAGCTTTCTCGTGATGTCTTGATTTCCATGCTCTCTGCTGTAGATATGTCGTCAACAGCTTTCATTGAGCCGCTTCCTGTCATCGAATTTGTGAGCCAGCTTCTGAATCGAGATATTTCATCCCGCCCTTTATCTGATGCTGATCGTGTGAAGGTGCAATTCAGTTTCCATTTGTTGTTTATCGAGTCTTGATCAGTTTGTAGTTATGTTGACTGTTGATTATCATTTTCTTCAAGCTTTTTCGGTTGCCTATCATGAAGCATGTAAAACCATGCAGCCTAAGGTTACTTCATGTTACTCTGTTAATGCATTTCCGTTTGTGAAAAAACTTTGCTTTATGTCAACAGATCAAGAAAGCTCTTAGAGGCGTCAAGGTTGAAGTGACACACCGTGGAAATATGCGCAGAAAGTACCGTATTTCTGGCTTGACTTCTATGGCTACACGAGAACTTACGTAAGTGACTAATTTTGTACTTTGGGTTATTCTTTCTTAAACTTTTTAACTGAATGATATCAGATGTTTACTCCAATAATGTCCTTTTCAGTTTCCCTGTTGATGAAAGAGGCACAATGAAATTAGTTGTTGAGTACTTCCACGAAACATATGGTTTCCGTATTCAACACATTCAGCTGCCATGCTTGCAAGTTGGGAACCAGAACAGGCCAAATTATTTGCCAATGGAGGTCATTGCAATGTTGCTCTTTAATTCTTCCTCAAGGTTTGTATGTGTTTTTGTACTAATTTTTTCTACTCTACAGGTCTGCAAGATCGTTGAGGGCCAGAGATACTCAAAAAGACTGAATGAGAGACAGATCACTGCTTTGCTGAAGGTGACCTGTCAACGTCCTCAAGAACGAGAGCATGATATCATGCGGGTATGCTTTTTGTTGTCTATTCGACTTTTTTCAACTGATCAAGTAAATGGAATTATTTTTATAACTTTAACTATTTGGGGGATTGGTTGCAGCAAGAATGTTGTTTTTCTTTCCGTAATTCATATGCTGGCATGATCCTGCACAAGTGTGGGTTTGAGCCTATTTCTGTGCAGAAGATCTAACTTCTAGATTGTCTTTTGTGGGCATTTTGGGGTTGGTTCTTCATAGATAGTTGCATGTCTTTTCTAAAAACAGTGATATGCCTTGAAACCAAGGTATTATTACTTTCTCGATAAAGTACCAGAAATATCTAATAAACATTTGTGGGAGATGTGATCCTGTTTTGGCCGTCTGCTTTTCTGTTTGATTGCGAAACCTCTTTTTTATTGATGCATTTATCAGAAATAAAGTTTTGTAATAGCATTGAAGTACAACTGTTCAAGGTCATATCTGTTGAAGACTCGTGGTTCATTTCTAACAAGACTTCCTTTTACATGCTAGACGGTTCATCACAATGCCTATGGTGAAGATCCGTATGCTAAGGAGTTCGGCATCAAAATTAGTGCAACCCTCGCGTCTGTGGAGGCCCGTATACTCCCTGCTCCATGGGTAAATTAAATTATCTTTGATTGTACCCTTTCCAGCTCATGCTATCTTTACTTTTCTTTTCTTTCTTATTAGGGAATAATGGTGGCTGCACATGCTTACTGTTTGTTCTGTTACTGCAGCTCAAGTATCATGATTCTGGCAGAGAAGGGACATGTTTGCCACAAGTTGGTCAGTGGAACATGATGAACAAGGTCTCCAGTTTAAGTGATAAAACCTTTGCATTATTATACCATTTATTGTTCTAGTTTATTTAACTTTTCTTCAGTATACTTTTCTGATTTGATGGCTTAACATTTTTCTGTGATTACTTCTTGAAATTATGCTTCAGCTGTGTCTTCCTAAGAGTTTGTGTATTGATGTTTTGCTTTTACCCATTTGTCCCTGCGTGCCCTTTAAACAATATACGATGAAGTGTTGAAGCATTTGTTCATATAGTTACATTATATACTGTGAACAACATTATGTTTCTTGTTATCCGACTTCTTCTCCTCCTTTAACTTCTGCTGTTGCCTGTCCAAGGCATTATTGCTCAGAGTTATGTGGCTTCCCTAATATAGGCTCCTTGGCAATATGGTAGCCTGATATTATGTAGTGTCTCCATTTTCTTGTTGGGTGATGTATGTGTGCTTTGCTCCCCGCCTTTTTTGCATTGTCAAGTGATCATGGTACTTATATTGTTTGTTCTCTGGCTGATAGAGTTGTTTTTTCTATTGCAGAAAATGGTTAATGGAGGAACTGTTAATCACTGGATCTGTGTCAACTTCTCTAGGCAAGTGCAGGACAATGTGGCGCGAACTTTTTGTCAGGAGCTTGCTCAGATGTGCTACATATCTGGCATGGTAAGGTTTGCAAAGTTTCAGTATTATTTGCAGTTTGTTGGCCTCTCTTGTACTTTCCTGAAATTTGATTTGGTGTGAAATCCAGGCGTTTAATCCTGAGCCAGTGCTCCCACCAGTCACTGGTCGTCCTGAACATGTTGAGAAGGTTTTGAAAACTCGATATCATGATGCCATGACCAAGCTCCGACCTCAAGGGAAGGAACTTGACCTCCTTATTGTTATTCTGCCTGACAACAATGGATCATTATATGGTATGAGCCATTGTGTAGGATTACAGCTTTGTATGATTGCATGTTGAACCTGTGTTTGTCTTCACTCATTAATTTTCTCACTTATTAATTTTCCTCCCTTGCAGGTGATCTGAAGCGTATCTGTGAGACGGATCTTGGGATTGTTTCTCAGTGCTGTCTGACCAAGCATGTTTTCAAGATGAGCAGGCAGTATTTGGCCAATGTAGCATTGAAGATAAATGTGAAGGTCGGTGGAAGGAACACTGTACTTGTTGATGCCATATCAAGGCAGATTCCACTAGTCAGTGATCGGCCTACCATAATTTTTGGCGCTGATGTCACCCATCCTCACCCCGGAGAGGATTCCAGCCCCTCTATTGCCGCTGTATGCTTTGTTTTATGACTTTTTGGGCCTTTAAATTGAGTTTGTGGTCTTCAAAAGACAAGAACTTTAAATTGAGTTTTCAAACAGATGACTTAATTTGTTCAATCTAATCGATAATAATATTCCATTTTCAGGTTGTTGCCTCGCAAGACTGGCCTGAGATTACAAAATATGCTGGTTTGGTATGCGCTCAAGCACATAGGCAGGAGCTCATTCAAGATTTATTCAAAGAGTGGAAGGATCCTGTGAGGGGGACGGTTACTGGTGGCATGATAAAGTATGTTTGATATCATTCGTTGTTCTGATAGGTTTTTAGTTTCGGCTTACTGATTTCTCGATGTTTGTATCTTTCTGTATTCTGGTGTGTAGGGAGTTGCTGATTTCCTTCCGTAAATCAACTGGACATAAGCCGCAGAGGATCATATTCTACAGGTATGATCTTTTTCTTGCGCTCTCTTGTTGTAGTTCATGGTATGTGTTCGTGATGTATTTTTCTACTGCAGGGATGGAGTTAGTGAAGGCCAGTTTTATCAAGTGCTTCTGTATGAACTTGATGCTATCCGGAAGGTATGACTTGTTAACATATGGCTAGAAGTTGTGAATCAATTGCCTTGATTGATTGTGGTTATTGTTTTTTCATCATTTCAGGCCTGTGCTTCCCTGGAACCAAACTATCAGCCTCCTGTCACTTTTGTTGTGGTTCAGAAGCGTCACCACACGAGGTTGTTTGCTAGCAACCACCGTGATCGGAATTCGGTGGATAGAAGTGGAAATATATTACCAGGTCAGAATAGTTGGATGGCGTGAGCTCTGGGTTTAATGCACTCGGGGGGGAAATTTTACATTGTTTTTTGATTCCAGGGACGGTTGTGGATTCTAAAATTTGTCACCCTACGGAGTTCGACTTCTATCTATGCAGCCATGCTGGTATTCAGGTAAAATCCAAAAGAAGGTGCATGATGATGGGCTTGACTTGAGTTATGTGGGTAGTTAGTTATACAAGTGTGATGAATGGGCAGGGGACATCAAGGCCAGCTCATTATCATGTGCTTTGGGATGAGAACAACTTCACTGCGGATGGGTTGCAGTCACTGACAAACAACCTTTGCTACACGTACGCAAGGTGTACGCGTTCGGTGTCGATAGGTGAGTGAGTTCTTTCATGAGCAGTAGTTATGTGATGTGGTGTGGGCATTAATTACTTGATAAATAAAAATGGCAGTACCACCGGCATACTACGCACATCTGGCGGCATTCAGGGCGCGTTTCTACATGGAGCCGGAGACGTCGGATAGCGGTTCAATGACGAGTGGGAGCATAGCTGGACGGGGGAGGAGCACCCGCGCCCCAATCGTGAGTGCGGCTGTTAGGCCTCTTCCTGCCCTCAAGGAGAACGTGAAGCGTGTCATGTTCTACTGCTGAATTGCTTTATCATGCACGGGAGAAACTCTATTGAACTCTCTCCCTTAGACTTGGCACTCTGTTTGGATTTGCTGTTTGTTGGAAGACATGTTAATGTCTCTATGCCTGGTGGCGGCTGTGTTATCTGGGATTTCAATCCTTGGGCGAATGGTTGTGGTTCCGAGTCTCCACCAAACTGTTCAGGCTCGGGATGGGAATACATCTAACCGTTTCAGTTTTTTTAAAAAAAAGATATATTTCTTTCAAAAAAATTCGGTTTTTTGATATTTTTTAAATTCGGTTTGATTCTAGAAAATTAAGTTTTTTAAAAATAATATTGTGGGAGAAAATATCATGTTTTTCAGTTCGGTTCCGATTATCCTACAAAGAGTCAGTTTCGCTCTCTGCCAAGTCTTACCACATTGTTTTATTGCCGATGAATAAATACTTTTATATAATTGTATTGTTTTATTGCCGATGAATGAATACTTTTATATAATTGTATTCTAATATCCACCACTTGTTTTACATTTCCTTAATATTTAGGATATACTACACCGTCAAATCATAGGTCAAGTAAGTAAATTTGGCTAAATTATAGGGGAACTGTATTCTTTAATTACTTGATATCTGTCTACAGATTTTCATCCCAACATTTGACGCCAAACTGTGTTCGGCTTTTTTTCTATTACAAAAAAAAGTTTCAAGGATTGTTTTATCGTAGAATACGCTGAATTTTTAAATTACAAACTTAATATATATATATATATATATATATATATTTGATAATATATATATATGTATGTATGTATATAGGTATATGTATATATATTTGTATATTAAAATTTTTAAATTACAAACTTTATATATATATATATAAACAGATATATATGTATATATATTTGATAAAAAATTAAAAATTTATATTTTAAAGTTTTAAAATGATGACATGGCGCTGATATGTCAATTCAGTCAGCGCGATGTCAGTAATCCATTGTGTTATGTCAGCAAAATTGTTGATCAAAAGTTAAATGTTTTATATGAAAGAAAATAATAAGTGTAATTTTTGTGGAAATTTTTTTCAAAATCAGAATTTTTTGTGGAAGATTGTAAGTTCGAGGTTTTATATGGAATATTTTAAGAAGTTTGAGGTTTTTTTATGGGATTAATCCGGAATAGAATGGAGCCTTGGTACTGATGCCTTGACCTTAAAAACGAAGAAGATGTAAACGTTTAAAGATCAAAATCAAATATTATTTCCAACTTGTAAAATCTGAAAATTATGAAAGGAAAGAAAATAATAACAAAAGGGTTATGAATGGAATATTTATTTATAATCCAAAGATTGGGGGATACGAATGGGAAGGCCCAATGGTGAGATGGCATGACGCGAGCAACTGGGAAAGCCGGAAGCCTCGAGTAAAGGACCAACTCAAAGTTGACTCTCCTTTCTTCTCCCATTGAAATTTCCACACTGCCATGTCTGTTTCCTTCCATCCAACCTTTTCTTCTTTCATCTTCTAGATCCAAGGAAGAGATCTGGCAGGTATGGAGGATGAGATGCGAGAGAGTGGGATCGACCACGAGGCCGACAGAAACACGAAGAACACGAATGGCAAGGAGACAATCAAAGAAGAAGAAGAAGAAGGCGGAGAAATAGAAGAATCGGTGGAGAGAATATTCGAGAGCAGAGAGGTGCCTTCTTGGAAGAAGCAGCTAACAGTGAGAGCCTTCGTGGTGAGCTTTGGGCTAAGCATTCTCTTCAGCTTCATCGTCATGAAGCTCAATCTGACCACCGGAATCATACCATCGCTCAACGTCTCCGCCGGGCTTTTGGGATTCTTCTTCCTCAAGACATGGACAAAGGTCCTCCACAAGTCCGGTCTTCTTAAACAGCCCTTCACCCGACAGGAGAACACTGTCATTCAGACATGCGTTGTGGCCTCCTCCGGCATCGCCTTCAGCGGAGGCTTCGGGACTTACCTCTTTGGGATGAGCCAACGAGTTGCCAAACACGCAGGCGACTCTTATCTCGGCTTCAAGGACCCTTCCTTGGGTTGGATTATGGGTTTCCTCTTTGTTGTCAGCTTCCTTGGCCTCTTCTCTGTCGTCCCCCTCCGAAAGGTTCTGTATGTGATCTTCTTCCTCCCCGTCTTCTTTAATTTGCCAGGATCCCAATCTATTTTTGGTGTTGCCTGCAGATCATGATCATAGACTTCAAATTAACATACCCCAGTGGCACTGCAACTGCTCATCTTATCAACAGCTTCCACACGCCTCAAGGGGCTAAGCTAGCCAAGTATGAATTTCTACTTTCCCATGTGCCTGTTGTGTGTCCACATTTCTGAGGGCCCTTTTGCTTCAGGAAACAAGTGAGGGTGTTGGGGAAATTCTTCTCCTTCAGTTTCCTCTGGGGATTCTTCCAGTGGTTCTTCACTGCAGGCGAAAACTGTGGCTTCTCCAGCTTCCCTACATTTGGGCTCAGAGCTTACCAGTACAAGTAAGCGTATATCTCCCTCCTCCATTCGAATATGACAACCTGTTTGTTTCCTTGTCAGTAATCCCGTTTTGGTGGGGACAACAGGTTCTACTTTGATTTCTCAGCAACATACGTTGGTGTCGGCATGATATGCCCATACATCATCAACGTATCTGTTCTTTTGGGAGGAATCCTCTCTTGGGGGCTGATGTGGCCTCTCATTGAAACCAGAAAGGGACATTGGTACCCTGCTGATGTTGACCCCAGCAGCATGAGCGGTCTCCAGGCTTACAAGGCAAATTCTCCATGACCCTGCTTCATTAAACCAAAATGAATCACACTAACCCCCGCCCATGCTGGACATTTGCTTTCAGGTGTTCATTGCTGTTGCTATGATCCTAGGAGATGGTCTATACAATTTCTGCAAGGTGCTAAGCCGAACACTTTCAGGATTATTTGTGCAGCTCAGAGGTAGTAATCAGAGAACCGGCCTTCCACTTGAAGATCCTCCTTCCCCATTCAGCCCAAAGCTATCCTATGATGACCAACGCCGGACAAGATATTTCCTCAAAGACCAAATTCCTTCTTGGTTTGCTGTTGGAGGGTACGTGACAATAGCTGTAGTGTCTACGGCGACTCTCCCTCATATGTTCCCCCAGCTGAGATGGTATTACATTCTGGTCATCTATATCTTTGCCCCCATCTTAGCCTTCTGCAATGCATATGGAGCTGGACTCACGGATTGGTCACTGGCATCAACCTATGGGAAGCTCGCCATATTTACAATTGGAGCGTGGGCCGGTTCTGAGCACGGTGGCATCCTGGCAGGCCTAGCAGCATGTGGAGTTATGATGAACATAGTATCAACGGCCTCGGACCTAACACAGGATTTTAAGACAGGATACCTTACATTATCCTCTCCGAGGTCAATGTTTGTAAGCCAAGTGATTGGGACAGCGATGGGTTGTGTAGTATCTCCATGCGTGTTCTGGCTATTCTACAAGGCATTTGATGACTTGGGCCTTCCAGACAGCGAATACCCTGCACCGTTTGCCACTGTGTACCGCAGCATGGCTAAACTCGGGGTGGAAGGTGTCTCATCTCTACCAAGAGAGTGTCTCGTGCTATGCTATGCATTCTTTGGTGCAGCCATTCTCATAAACATGATGAAAGATGGTCTTGGTAATAGATGGGGGAGATTTGTTCCTCTACCCATGGCAATGGCCATCCCGTTTTTCCTGGGCCCTTACTTCGCCATTGACATGTGCGTGGGAAGCTTGATTTTGTTTGTGTGGGAGAGGGTAGACGCTGCCAAAGCTGAGGCTTTTGCACCCGCAGTGGCTTCTGGTTTGATATGTGGGGATGGGATTTGGACTTTGCCAAGTTCGGTGCTTGCCATTGCTGGAGTTAAACCTCCCATCTGCATGAAGTTTCTCTCGGGTGCAACCAACGCAAGGGTTGATCAGTTCCTGCAAAGCTCCCCCTAGTTTAAGCTTGTATGCTTCATTTCTTTTTTTTGAAGTTTTTGATGAAGGTGTATTATGTTATGTCTTTGGTGGTATAGAGAGATGAGGCGGTTTGCTGTATCAAAATGCACACTGCACAGCACATGCCAATTTTTCACAGGGGTCTCTTGTCCCTTTTATAAACTAAATGTGTTCTTGTTGTATTTCCATCTTTGCCGACAAAGCCGCCTTTCTGCAACAGCCTCGTTTTGTCGGCAGTAGTAAACCGGGCGTCATTTCTCAATAATAACGAGTCTAAAAGAACTACAAGCCGTTCAAACGGACACAAAACCAACAACAAATTCCCATTCCAGCTCAAGTTTCCCCAGGCTGCAATGCAAAGCTTTGGGAACCATTGTACAGGATCATTCCTTTGTGGATGAGCTTCCAGCCGCTTTCTGCTCTGCTTTCTTGAACATGTTAGATACCGTAGCTTGAACAAGCGGACCATCTCTGCCTTTGGATTTTGGCTTTCTGGCTGCTGAAGATGGCAGAAGTCCAGTACAAAACTTGCCATCTAATGCAGCAGTAGCGGCTTGAACTTGCTCATGACCTCCCGTTGAAGAATCATGTTCCAACAATAGTTTTTCACATTCTTCATTGGATGTATCGCTGTCGCTTGGGTCAGATACGTCTTCGGGCGAGCTTTCCATGAAGCTGTGGGAACAGTTAAAGAAGGCGGTTAAGATTGATACAAACCAGACAGCTCATAGACGGACAACTAAGGAGGATGAAATGAAACACAGTGGTAACTTATAGGGGCAAAAGAACAAGCCAATACTCTGTCCTAGCTCAATATTTGTAGTGACTATTACGGTGGTCCAGCGAGGCAGTTTTCTACCCTTCTACATACTTACATACCAATATGTATGCCACTCTCAAACGGTGTTGGTTTCAGAACTCAAAAAGAGATGAACACATGGATCCATGAAATGAATAGGAAGTGTTTCACTGGAAAGAATCTGACAGACTTGTCAAATTCTGGTAGAGACTTTCAGGACACAATCATCTTTGCAAAGAGGTAAGTGAAGCATCATACTTGAAACTTTTCCCAGAATTTCTCTGAGACGTTCGAACTGGTGTCAACTCCAGATCGTATCCTTCCACTGATAAACCATCATGCATCTCAATGTCAGGTGAATCTGTTTCCATAGTTTCAGGGACAGTCAAGGCCTTGGGTGAAACTTCACCAGCACCACCTCTGAAGTCGAACTCTGTCTGCTGTTCCTGAAACCAAGAATCGCGGTATGAGAGCGTGTATGCAGCGACTAGGCTTGAAAGAACAAAACGGCTGACAGGTTACAAGCTGAGCCAATTCTTGAGGGAAGTCTAAGCGAGCTTCTTCAGGGTTGTCCTCCTTAGTGCCGATCCACCATGCTTCAGAGAACACAATCTACGGGCATTTCACAAACCCTTCAGTATATATATATTTCTAGAGAGAGAGAGAGCAAAAGGAGACGGACCATGTTGTCAAAATAGTCGTCGCATGTGACATTCTTGCCTCCTCGGGAGAATTGGAGGGTCAAGTACCTGTTCTTGGGATAGACAATGGTTCCAAACAGCTTCATTCGACCCTGAAAACCCCAGTTTTCGAGGATTAGAAATGCAGGAACAAAAACCCTAATACAAAAGTGACGGAAAGGGGAGTACCTGGGGAAAATGGAGGTAGAGGACAGGGTTTTTGGTAGACAAGCGGTCGAGGTCGCCGATGGTGGCTCCTGAGACAGGAGCCAGCAGTGCTGGGAAGGAAAAGAGAAAGCGATTCTTACGCTGAGACTTGCGGAGGATGTCGGAGCCATGGTGTTTGAGGACTTGCTTCGAGGGTTTGAGCGGAGAAACACATCTCGCCGGAGCACACGACAGCAATCGGTTTTTCATGGCTAGGGTTTTCAGTCTCTTCCGCTCTTC